GAATTCTGAGGCACTCCGCATACAATGTCCAGCTCACTCGATTGGTATTCACCCAACTTCACAAATTGACGCCTCTGTGTCAAGTAACTTCTAATTCATTTCAGAACCATTCCTCTGATCCCATATTTTTCTAACTTATCCATTAATAACTCATGATTGATTGTGTCAAATGCTTTTTTTTAGGTCAATAAATATTCCCATCGTGTATTTCTTCTCATCCATAGCACGTGTTATGTCCTCCACCAGGACATAACACGCCAAAGATGTCGATCGGTTCGACCTAAAACCATATTGGCAATCAGAGAGAAAAATTCTGAATAGAACCATGAATGTCCTTGAGGAGCTGAACATTTTGACACCTGAAAGTATGCTGAAGTTGAATTTTCCCCATTCATTTGAATGGAGCAAGATTTTCAAAATAAAGCTAAATATTTCAAAGGTATGAAGATTAGAAAAATTCTGAATAGAACCATGAATGTCCTTGAGGAGCTGAACATTTTGACACCTGAAAGTATGCTGAAGTTGAATTTTCCCCATTCATTTGAATGGAGCAAGATTTTCAAAATAAAGCTAAATATTTCAAAGGTATGAAGATTAGAAAAATTCTGAATAGAACCATGAATGTCCTTGAGGAGCTGAACATTTTGACACCTGAAAGTATGCTGAAGTTGAATTTTCCCCATTCATTTGAATGGAGCAAGATTTTCAAAATAAAGCTAAATATTTCAAAGGTATGAAGATTAGAAAAATTCTGAATAGAACCATGAATGTCCTTGAGGAGCTGAACATTTTGACACCTGAAAGTATGCTGAAGTTGAATTTTCCCCATTCATTTGAATGGAGCAAGATTTTCAAAATAAAGCTAAATATTTCAAAGGTATGAAGATTAGAAAAATTCTGAATAGAACCATGAATGTCCTTGAGGAGCTGAACATTTTGACACCTGAAAGTATGCTGAAGTTGAATTTTCCCCATTCATTTGAATGGAGCAAGATTTTCAAAATAAAGCTAAATATTTCAAAGGTATGAAGATTAGAAAAATTCTGAATAGAACCATGAATGTCCTTGAGGAGCTGAACATTTTGACACCTGAAAGTATGCTGAAGTTGAATTTTCCCCATTCATTTGAATGGAGCAAGATTTTCAAAATAAAGCTAAATATTTCAAAGGTATGAAGATTAGAAAAATTCTGAATAGAACCATGAATGTCCTTGAGGAGCTGAACATTTTGACACCTGAAAGTATGCTGAAGTTGAATTTTCCCCATTCATTTGAATGGAGCAAGATTTTCAAAATAAAGCTAAATATTTCAAAGGTATGAAGATTAGAAAAATTCTGAATAGAACCATGAATGTCCTTGAGGAGCTGAACATTTTGACACCTGAAAGTATGCTGAAGTTGAATTTTCCCCATTCATTTGAATGGAGCAAGATTTTCAAAATAAAGCTAAATATTTCAAAGGTATGAAGATTAGAAAAATTCTGAATAGAACCATGAATGTCCTTGAGGAGCTGAACATTTTGACACCTGAAAGTATGCTGAAGTTGAATTTTCCCCATTCATTTGAATGGAGCAAGATTTTCAAAATAAAGCTAAATATTTCAAAGGTATGAAGATTAGAAAAATTCTGAATAGAACCATGAATGTCCTTGAGGAGCTGAACATTTTGACACCTGAAAGTATGCTGAAGTTGAATTTTCCCCATTCATTTGAATGGAGCAAGATTTTCAAAATAAAGCTAAATATTTCAAAGGTATGAAGATTAGAAAAATTCTGAATAGAACCATGAATGTCCTTGAGGAGCTGAACATTTTGACACCTGAAAGTATGCTGAAGTTGAATTTTCCCCATTCATTTGAATGGAGCAAGATTTTCAAAATAAAGCTAAATATTTCAAAGGTATGAAGATTAGAAAAATTCTGAATAGAACCATGAATGTCCTTGAGGAGCTGAACATTTTGACACCTGAAAGTATGCTGAAGTTGAATTTTCCCCATTCATTTGAATGGAGCAAGATTTTCAAAATAAAGCTAAATATTTCAAAGGTATGAAGATTAGAAAAATTCTGAATAGAACCATGAATGTCCTTGAGGAGCTGAACATTTTGACACCTGAAAGTATGCTGAAGTTGAATTTTCCCCATTCATTTGAATGGAGCAAGATTTTCAAAATAAAGCTAAATATTTCAAAGGTATGAAGATTAGAAAAATTCTGAATAGAACCATGAATGTCCTTGAGGAGCTGAACATTTTGACACCTGAAAGTATGCTGAAGTTGAATTTTCCCCATTCATTTGAATGGAGCAAGATTTTCAAAATAAAGCTAAATATTTCAAAGGTATGAAGATTAGAAAAATTCTGAATAGAACCATGAATGTCCTTGAGGAGCTGAACATTTTGACACCTGAAAGTATGCTGAAGTTGAATTTTCCCCATTCATTTGAATGGAGCAAGATTTTCAAAATAAAGCTAAATATTTCAAAGGTATGAAGATTAGAAAAATTCTGAATAGAACCATGAATGTCCTTGAGGAGCTGAACATTTTGACACCTGAAAGTATGCTGAAGTTGAATTTTCCCCATTCATTTGAATGGAGCAAGATTTTCAAAATAAAGCTAAATATTTCAAAGGTATGAAGATTAGAAAAATTCTGAATAGAACCATGAATGTCCTTGAGGAGCTGAACATTTTGACACCTGAAAGTATGCTGAAGTTGAATTTTCCCCATTCATTTGAATGGAGCAAGATTTTCAAAATAAAGCTAAATATTTCAAAGGTATGAAGATTAGAAAAATTCTGAATAGAACCATGAATGTCCTTGAGGAGCTGAACATTTTGACACCTGAAAGTATGCTGAAGTTGAATTTCCCCATTCATTTGAATGGTGCAAGATTTTCAAAATAAAGCTAAATATTCTAAAAGTATGAAGTTTAGAAAAATTCTGAATAGAAGCATGAATGTCTTTGAGGAGCTGAACATTTTGATACCTGAAAGTATGCTGAAGTAGAATTTTCCCATTCATTTGAATGGGGCAAGATTTTCAAAGTAAAGCTAAATATTTCAAAAGTATGAAGATTAGAAACATTCTGAAGAGAAGCATGAATGTCCTTGAGGAGCCAGACATTTTGATAGCTGAAAGTATGCTGAAGTTGAATTTTCCCATTCATTTGAATGAAGTAAAATTTTTAAAAATAAAGCTAAATATATCAAAAGTATGAAGTTTAGAAAAGTCCTTGAAGATCTGAACATTTTAATAGCTGAAATTATGCTGAAGTAGAATTTTCCCATTCATTTGAATGGGGCAAGATTTTCAAAATAAAGCTAAATATTTCAAAAGTATGAAGATTAGAAAAGTTCTGAATAGAAGCATGAATGTCCTTGAAGAGCTGAACATTTTAAAAGCTGAAAGTATGCTGAAGTAGAATTTCCCCATTCATTTGAATGGGGCAAAATTTTCAAAACAAAGCTAAATATTCTAAAAGTATGATGTTCAGAAAAATTTGGAATACAAGCATGAATGTCCTTGAAGAGCTGAACGTTTTGAAGGCGGAAGTAGAATTTTCCCATTCATTTGAATAAAGTACGATTTTCAAAATAAAGCTAAATACATTGTGTTCCCTTTATTTTTTTTGAGCAGTATATTTAAATGGGGCAACTTTTTCAGAATAAAGCTGAATATTTTAAAGAGTATAAAAGTTGTAAAAAAGTTTAATACATGCCGTAATGTCCCAAAAAACCTGAACATTTTGATACCTGAATGGCTTTTGTAGCTGAAAGTATACTGAACCTATTAAGATGTGAATATTTTCCCATTGGTCCCCAAAAAGTAGGTAAAACAATTAGACGTGTGTGTGTGTGCAGGTGTGTAGGGGTTTGTGTGTGTGTGTGTGTGTGTGTGTGTGTGAGAAAGAAAGAGTAGTCCTACACGCTGAGAAATACTAGAGTGTGGCTATTGAAATGAGAAAATATAAACAGTAATCATGCAAAAACCGTAGAAAACATCAAAATGTTTATGGTATGAATAGCTGAAGAGTTGCTGAATAGTTCTTAGTTGAAATGGTGGTTTTAGCTCAAGGTATGCTGAAGATATTAAGATGTGAAAATTTTTCCCATTCATTTGAATGCTTTTCAGCATCCATACAATAGTAAAGAATAGGATAACATAGTATGGATGCTGAAAAGCATCCATACAATAATAATAATAAATAATTGGATAACATAGTATGGATGCTGAATCAGCATCTATACAATAATAATAATAAATAATTGGATAGCATGGTAATTTTCAAATAAAGTGCAAACAATTCCATTGTACTATAAGTTCTGAAGAATGAGTAATGCCACTATCACTGCAACTCAGATGTTTTAGAGGAACATCAGAAGGACTCAAAAGGTTGCATGAATGCTCTGAATAGTCAGGTTATTCATACAGATACGTGAAGTGTAACGAGAAGTGTCAGCCTGAGGCAGCTGACGGGTACTGGCAGGCCGATCAGACTGCAGCCCGGGTGGTTGTGGAGGCAAAAACTCGGGTCTGGAAAGAGTTCGGTGAGGCCATGGAGAGGGACTATTGGCCGGCCTTGAAGAAATTCTGGCAAACCCTCCCGCGCCTCACGAGGGGGGAGCA